TCTCAGCTCACTGCAGCCTCCATGCCCCTCTCCACAGGCTCAAGTGATCCTCCTACCTCAGCCTCGCAAGTAGCTGGGACCACAGGCACACTCCAGTATGCTCAGCTGATTTTTGTATTTTTATTAGAGATGGGGTATCACCATGTTGCCCAGGCTGGTCTCAAACTCCTGAGCTCAAGCAATTCACCTGCCTTGGCCTCCCAAAATGCTAGGATTACAGGAATGAGCCACCGAGACTGCCCAAAAATTTGCCTCTCACCATTTCTCTCCTTCCTGGTGCTGCCTGCTGATAATATCCATCTTTCATGGAGCACTTTCCACCTCTACTTATTCTTCCCCACCTGTCAAATGCTTGTCCCAGAAAAACTACCTTCTCTGTGCTGCCTTTCCAGCATTCCCAGCCTCAGCACCATTCCTACGACACTCTTCATCTGACATTGTAGTTTTCATCTATACAAGTTTGAGCTGGGTCTACTTTGTATCTTCCATGCCTCCATTTAACCTCTGAATATACAGAAGCATTCATAATAATGTTTAATGTCCATATGCTATTTCTAGCATATGTCATGTCTGAATCAGTTTCAATGGACTCAGTACAGCTCATATTTTCCTGCCTCTTTACATGCCTTGTAATTTTTTATTGAATGCCAGATATTTCCAATTTTACCTCTGTGGGTGCTGGACATTTTCTGTATTCCTATATTCTTGAACTTTGTTCTGGAGTACAGCGAAGTCACTTAGAAACAGTCTGATCTTTTTGGTCTTGCTGTTAAGAAATCAGGTGGGCTTCATCTAGGGCTAATTCTACTCCACTACTGAGACAAGACCTTTCTGAGTATCCACCTGCATGTTCTGTGAATTATGGGGTTTTTGTCTGGCTGGTAGGTGAAATAGGCAGTATTCTTGGCCCCGTATGGAGAAACTGTTCCTTCTAATCCTTTAAGGTGGTTCTTTTTGAGGCCTCCAAGAGCTTCCTCATGCCCTGATTAGCACTCCACTGGACGCCTGGGGGGATCCCCATGAAGATCTTCAGAGTTCTCCCTCTTTGTAGCTCTCTCCTCTCTGGGTGCTCTGTCTTGGGAACTCTAGTTGCCTCTGTCTCCCAGATCCTCAACTCCATCTTGCCAACTCAGAAATCTGCTGGGCTCTGCCTGGTTTCCCCGTTCCTTGTCACAGCCTGCACGCTTTCAAGGCAGTACGCCGGGGCAGTGATGGGTTCACAACATTTGTTTCCATTTCTGAGATTGCTACGCTTTGTTGTCTGATGTCCAATATCTCACAAAGTGTTGTATCTTATATCTAGTTTTTTGGTTGTTTCAGGCACAATGGTACATCTATTCACGGTTACTCCATGTTGGCTGGGAATGGAAGTCCCTACTAAACTCTCTTACACCTGTACTATAACCTACAATACTACGCACACGGTATTGAAACTGTCAGAATAAAATGTGCTTTACAAGGGCAGAGACTCTGTTGTTACGTTCTTTGTATTTTTAACACTTAACACATAGCAGATGCTGTATTTAATATGTGTGTTGAGAGAATGAAAGGCTGTCCAACTTCTTGTATGCTTCAGACCTGGGAAAATTTTTTCTTTTTTTTTTTTTTTTTTAGATGGAGTCTCGCTCTGTTGCCCAGTCTGGAGTGCAGTGGCACCATCTCGGCTCGCTGCAACCTCTGCCTCCCAGGTTCAAGCAATTCTCCTGCTCCAGCCTCCCAAGTATCTGGGACTACAGGCGCACATTACCATGCCCGGCTAATTTTTTGCATTTTAGTAGAGATAGGGTTTCACCATGTTGCCCAGGCTGGTCTCAAACTCCTGGGCTCAGGCAACCTACCCACCTTGGCCTCCCAAAGTGCTGGGATTACAGGCATGAGCCACTGCCTTTTTCCTTTTTTTTTTTTTTTTTTTTTGAGACAGAGGTTCCCTCTTGTTGCCCAGGCTGGAGTGCAATGGCATGATCTGGGCTCACTGAAATCTGTGCCTCCCAGGTTCAAGCAATTCTCCTGCCTCAGCCTCCAGAATAGCTGGGATTACAGGCACGTGCCACTAGGCCCAGCTAATTTTTGTATTTCTAGTAGTTACGAGGTTTCACCATGTTGGCCAGGCTGGTCTCAAACTCCTGACCTCAAGTGGCCTACCTACCTCTGCCTCCCAAAGTGCTGGGATTACAGGCATGAGCCACTACATCTAGACAGACCTGGGAAATTTCAACAAAGCTAGCATTGAAACCTTCACTATAAGACAATAATCTATTTATCTCCTACTATGCAACTTTCATGCACCTTCTCTAGCCTAAATAAGCTTTCTATAGATCCCTACAAATATCCTCTCTTGCCTTTTTCAGAATTCTATGCATCTTTCAAGGTCTCAACAAAGTTTATGTTCTCTATAAAACTTGCCCTGCTAAGTGTTTTCCTTCTGCTTTAAACTCCTATTAAACATATTGCCCATAATAGTTATTTGGAGTACTTCTTACGTTTTCCTTTTCATGTATGTATCTTTTGTTTTTTCTAACTACAGTGAAGGAGTTGGGGACTATAACATGGTTCTTCTCTATGTCACTTATTTACTTTCTGATGAATCCTATAGGAAATATGCAGCATAACCATACAAACAGCACCCAGTCATTCTGTTAACTCACCATCTGCAAGTGAAGGTGAGGGAAAAAGGACTCTTGAATCCAAATGATTTTTTTCATTTCTATTATTAACTATATTACCACGTGTAGAATATATCCATTGTTTTTGCCCACATGGCATCTCTTCCCTCTTCTTTTGTGACAATAACGCTATTTCCTTTCAGGACCCACTGTCTACTTCTGCATTAAGTCTTAGTGGAAATATCCTTCAATACCCTTCCTCCTCCTCTGGCCTAGAAGTGGTCATGGAACAAAAAAACAGTTGGGTAAATACAACTCTCTCCATGAGCAGTAAAAGAAAGATTGCCAGGCATGGTGGCTCACGCCTGTAATCCAGCACTTTGGGAGGCTGAGGCGGGTGGATCACAAGGTCAGGAGTTCAAGACCAGTCTGACCAACATGGTGAAACCCCGTCTCTACTAAAAATACAAAAATTAGCCGGGCGTGGTGGCGCATGCCTGTAATCCCAGCTACTCAGGAGGCTGAGCAGGAGAATCGGTTAAACCCGGGAGGCAGAGGTTGCAATGAGCCGAGACTGCACCACTGCACTCCAGCCTGGGCAACAAAGCAAGGCTCTGTCTCAAAAGAAAAAAAGAAAGATCATGGTTTAGGCAGATTCATTCTGGGGTTGACCCTGAAAGAACTCCCGTTGCTTCCTTCAATCCCTTGAGATACCTTTATTTGGGTCCTTTCAGAGGCCTTGGCATTTACTCACCCTACAGCGTTTCAAATAAATCCTTTTCTTAATAACCAGAGTTGGTTTTACTGCTTGGGAACAATGAATCCTTACTAACACAATGTCTTTGATTCAATTCATCTAAGTGTCTGCACCCAAAGCATGGTCCACAATTTTTAGCTTTTTATTGAAGGCTAGAAATCATGTCTACAAAATACCAAAAGCAGGCGACTTAGTCAGATCTAAAGTGACTTCAATTGTGGTTGGTGTTAAAACATTAATCTCTAATTATTTTTTCTTTATTTTATTTTATTTTTTTTTTTTTTGAGACAGAGTTGCACTCATATTACCCAGGCTGGAGTGCAACGGCGCGATCTCGGCTCACCGCAACCTCCGCCTCCTGGGTACAGGCAATTCTCCTGCCTCAGCCTCCTGAGTAGCTGGGACTACAGGCACGCACCACCATGGCCAGCTAATTTTTTGTATTTTTAGTAGAGACGGGGTTTCACCATGTTGACCAGGATGGTCTCGATCTCTTGACCTCATGATCCACCCGCCTCGGCCTCCCAAAGTGCTGGGATTACAGGCTTGACCCACCGCGTCCGGCCTTTATTTCTTTTTATTTTTTATTTTTATTTTTGAGATGGAGTCTCACTCTGTCGCCCAGGCTGGAGGGCAGTGGCATGATCTTGGCTAACTGCAACCTCAGCCTTCTGGGGTCAAGCGATTCTCCTGCCTCAGCCTCCCGAGTAGCTGGGACTGGAGGCCCCCACCACCACGCCTGGCTAATTTTTGTATTTTTAGTAGAGACAGGGTTTTACCATGTTGGCCAAGCTGGTCTCAAACTCCTGACCTTAGGTGATCTGCCTGCCTCTGCCTCCCAAAGTGCTGGGATTACAGACATGGGCCTCCCAGACTGCTCCGTTTTTCCGTGTTTGATGAAGCAGATTTCTAATACTGTATGCATCCTAAAGCTACAAGCTACAGATCCAAGAACCCTAGAGCAGCTCAGTATCAACCAAGAAGCACTTACTGCGTGGTTTTTCTAAGAGTCTCTCATTTTCCTCTTACATATTCATTTTTTTCCATACACTGTCAGCTCATGAAGTTAAAAACTCAGAAACAATGGATTTTGCTTTAAATATATATGAATCTCAAGTCTACTTACAGGTCTTACAGTTAATTTTCCATTTTCTCAACTGGAAAAAATAGAAAATTTTAGTCTCATTAGAAATGTTTGGTTTTTATTTCATCAAGATTATTTAACTATGGTCACTACTCAAGAATCTAAGCTACCATAGTGCTGGAACTGTTTCATGTTTCTCTTTCTTTTCCTAATGCACTTCATTCAGTAGGATCACAGTAATATTCCTACTAATTTATTAACCCAAATTAGTACTTTAACGTAACCGTCAACTTTGCATTTCTCAAAAGCAAAAGTTTTATTACTTTCCAATAGAAAATCCAGTTAATTCTGGACATATATACATGTTTCCTCTAAAAACGTCTTATGATACTTAAGCAAAGAAATAAGATTTTTGTAATTATGCTATCATTCTGTATTACACACGCTGTAAACTGGGCCACTGTTTTTTTTGTTTGTTTGTTTTTTTTTTTTTTTTTTTTTTTTTGGTAATCTGGTTTGAATCTATCAAAGATTTTGAAACCTTTACATTCCTATTATGCTAGATTCAAAACAGCACATGACACAGTTTTTCTCTCGTGTGGGTTCCTGGCGATGATAGCGACAGGTCTGTCCGCAGGACGCTGGAGCCAGGCCCGAGCGTCGCTGTCACTCCAGGTCCACAGCCTCTACCGCCAAGGCAAGGGACCCCGCCAGGAAGGGAGATTCGCCCCGCTGCGCCCCTGGGGCGTCCGAGCGGAACCCAGCGGCCCGGCGCCCCGAGACTCGCGGTGAGGAAGGGCTGTCAGGCCAGGCGCACATCACGTGAAGCTACCAGTTCCGGGACCAAAGACGCGCCACGCACGTGGGCTGGACGCCAGCCTGGGACCCCTGGAGCCGCGCGCCCACCGCCCGGGAGCCCGCCCCAGTTTCCACCGGGAAAATTAGCCCCGACCCGGCGTGTCGCAGATTCCACGGCCGCCCGGCGCCCTCCCACAGCCCCGAGCCCAGGCCTCCCTCGCACCGGCGGCGCCCCCTACGGCCGTGGCCGCACTTGCCAAAGGAGGTTTCCATCCCTCAGCCTCCGCCCAGTGCGCCTCAACACAGGAAAAAGAGGATTCCGGGACCGGCAGCCGCGCGCAGCCTCCGTGCACTCACGTCTTCCATCCTGCCCCCCGCCGCCATTTCCTGACGCCAGAGGTCGAAGCACCGGCGACCCCGGCCTCTCCACCTGGGCTGAGACGCCGCTGGCAGAGAAAATAGCCACCTTCTGGGACCTGCCAGGCCCCGCCCTAGACACACCCTCTCCTGCGTCTGCCCCGCCTCCGGCTGGCCCGCTCCCCGCCCCCTCAGCCCCGATTGGCTGAGGTGGTGGGAGGGGCGTGCCGGCCCAGAGGACCTGGGCTGTGGGCGGTGGCTACCGCCTGCACCACCTCGGGTCTCGGATATTCTGGCCGCAGGCGCTCGGTTCGCTCTTACCCGGAGACTTGGGCATTAAAGGATGCCTTCCTAGTCCAAGAATTTAACTATTTTCGGGCTCCACTTGCATCTTTTCAGAACATTAACTTTTTCTCGGTCTTGCCTAATTTTTGTTAGCACACACAGCTCTACGCCTAGGTAGAATCAGCGGTAAAATCCTACTCCACCAGCAGAGGGACAGGAGCAGAATAAAGATTCCAGTTTCCATGACATGTTTACAGATTTCAGCAATGGGAAAACAAAGCAGTTTGGAATGTTTATGGTGTTTGTTTATTTGTTTATTAAGACAGATTCTCGCTCTGTTGCCCACGCTGGAGGGTCCTACCACGGCTAACAGCAGCCTCGAACTCCTGACCTTCTGGCCAGTCCTCCCACCTCAGCTTCTCAAAGTACTGGGATTACAGGCGTGAGCCACTGCGCCGTTGTTTCTTTTCAAATGGAGTTTTAAAAAGAAAAAACTTAAATGAAAATTTCCGAAAAATACATGATTGCAAAAATGTAAGCAAAGAAAGAAAGAAATTTTCTGTTGTTACCAGCTCTCAGAGAGAACCTTGGTATCAGAATATATGCACTTTCAGCCGAGCGTGGTGGCTCACTCCTGCAATCCCAGCACTTTGGGAGGCCGAGGCGGGTGGATCACGAGGTAAGGACTTCAAGACCAGCCTGGCCAACATAGTGAAACCCCGTCTTTACTAAAAATACAAAAAAATTAACTGGTCATGGTGGCACGTGCCTGTAGTCCTAGCTACTGGGGAGGCTGAGGCAGGAGAATCGCTTGAACCCAGGAGGTGGAGGTTGCAGTGAGCCGAGATCGGCCTCCCAAAGTACAGGGATTACCGGCATGAGCCACCACTCCCGACCAGCAATTTTTTTTTTTTCTCCAGCTTGATATTTTTCAAAATAAAGTCTAAAGGGAAAGATAGGCTAAAGGGCTTGCTTACACTTTAGGGTAGCAATAATCTGTGATTACTCAGTATAAGCCAGAAGAAAGAAATGGTATCAGGAAATAGAATTCTGAACTTTGCAAGGTTTAATAGAAGGAGATTGGTAGAGCTGGGGAGTGAGGTTGTCAGGCAAGGAGGTGCACTTTAGTAGGAGACCTTGACTTCCAGGAAAAAGGATGAGTGGGAGAAAAGCATGTTCTCTGGAAAATTAAGAGTGACTGTGCTAAAGGAAGAAGGGGAACACGATCCAGCTTGTCTTACCATTTGGTTTAGACCTTTCCTTGCAAGAATAGGTGCCATTTCATGTTTAGTCTGTCCAGGTGAAAATTAAAGTATATAATTGCCACTAAAAGTCATCCATAGTCTTTCTCAGGGAATATATGCAGAAACAATGGGTTAGGTGTAGGAATAAGATTAAGTGGGACTCTGACCAAAATGTACCACTCCCTGCAATGTATTGTTATAGTATTTCAGGCATAGATTATATACAGGAATTAAAACAGTCCTCACAAGGAAACAGTATTAAAATCTTGGCCCATATAATGCTCTAATGACTGGTAAAGCAATTTATATAAGCATAGATCTATAAATAAATTATTTATAATGTATCTGACACTCCATTTTTGTATGACTAAAGATCTTGGTGAATATTCTTGCATTTATTTGCCTATAAGGAATAAGGAAAGGAGTAGAGAAACTGTTTTCCTATTGTTGGGGCTAAGAAGATAGTATTGCCCATGCATAGTGGCTCATGCTTGTGATCCCAGCATTTTGGGAGGCTGAGGTGGGCAAATCACCTGACATCGGGGGTTCGAGACAAGCCTGGCCAACATGACGAAAACCTGTCTCTACTAAAAATACAAAAATTAGCCAGGCATGATGGCATGCGCCTATAATCCTAGCTACTCAGGAGACTGAGGCAGGAGAATGGTTTGAACCCAGGATCCGAGATTGCACTGCTGCACTCCAGCCTGGATGACAGAGCGAAATTTAAAAGTTTAAAAATGCAACCAGCCTGGCCAATATGGTAAAACCCTGTCTCTACCAAAAATACAAAAATTAACCAGGTGTGGTGGTGGCAGACGCCTGTAGTTTCAGCCACTCAGGAGGCTGAGGCATGAGAATTGCTTGAACCTGGGAGGCAGAGGATGCAGTGAGCTGAGATTGTGCAACTGCACTTCAGCCTGGGCGACAGCAAGACTCTGTCTCAAAAAAAAAAAAAAAAAAAAAAAGAGGATGGCTAGCATCACAAAGTATGGTGCTTTTACATTCTAAGTACTTGAAGTGAAGGACACGTTAGCAGGGCCTCCGAAGCAAAGTTTCTCTATGACTTTCCCCTACCCTCCTGTCTCCTGCTCCCCTTTCTCTCCCAAGGCAAGATATGAAAACTAGAATTCCTCTTCTCTAAGGCCCGTCATACAAACTAGAAATATTACTGTAACATTCCCCTATCTTCCTGCGTAGGAGCTGGCCATAAAGAAATTCCATGACCTACCTTGTCACAAGACCTTTATTCTAGAAAGGGTCCTGCCTTACACCTGGAAGGAAGGAATACCACACAGAGAGGTCAAGAATTTTGAACAGACAAGCCTTGCTGACCCTGTTACTAAGCATTACAGTAGATGCTTGTAAATTCTTGTCCCTACTCAGTCAGTTGTCATTTAGATCATTCCCTTTTTGTTCGATCACATTTCTGCACAACTGCCTATTCTTCATTAAACCCAAGTATAAGAATAGACAGCTTTCCCTGAGTCTTTGGGTCTTTATTTCTAAAGGCTCTAGGGTCACTGTTTTTCTCTTGTTAACCCGGCTTTGTCATAGGAGTGTCAGCCATGACCCTGTGATGGGGAGGAACCGTTTTACACCTTTATGCCTCTATGCTACCAAACAGTTCACCATTAGAAGATTCTGGACTGAAGCCCCATCTTTCCTTCAAGTGTTGTCACTATCAGCATTTTCCCAGGCACTGTGCTCATTCCTGATCACAAATATTAAATTGTTGATAATATATCATTGATTTTTTTCAACGTCAAAATCTGTTCTTTATTCACTATGACTTCTATTATTCAGCCTAGCACACCTGGTAACATGTCATACAAACAATAGGTACTTCATTGATATTTTTGTTGGTTTTAAAGCAGGATCTCTTTAACTACTGATATTGATCTTAATCTGCCTTTTAAATGGATTTATTTAATTTTTTGAATAGAGATGGGGTCTCACTAAGTTGCCGAGGCTGGTCTTGCTCTCCTGGGCTCAAGCAATCCTCCCACCTTGCTCTCCCAAAGTGCTGGGATTATAGGCATGAGCCACCATGTCCAGCCTAAATTTATTTTTAATTGATAAATAAAAACTATATATATTTATGATGTTCAGCATGATGTTTCAGTATATGGATACATTGCACAGTGATTGAATCAAGCTAATTAATGTATTCACCACTTACCATACTTACTTTTTTGCTTAGGCTGCCTTTTAAATAAAATTTTAGAATAAGTTGATCCTCGCTAGATATTTCCACAATTCCCTTAGTTTACCCTATACCATTGTCAGAAATGCACATATCCAAAATTCTGTCTTTGGATAATGTTTTGTAGCTAAATCTCTCCTAGATACTCAGAGAGATACCACTGAAAAATCCCTTTCAATGAAGAGACAAAAAAAAAGATCAACAGTTATGTTAGTGTATCAAATTATATTTAGTTTATGTATTTTTTTCTAGAAAAAAGTTTAAGAATATTGTAAGCAATTAGAAACATTCCAGTTTCCATTTATTTGTTTCATAAATGTTTGTATCTTTCAAAGAACCTGTACCACAAATAGAGTCCAGCCTGATCAATATGGTGAAACCCTGCCTCTACTAAAAATACAAAAACTGGCTGGGCATGGTGGCATGTGCCTGTAATCCCAGCTACTCAGGAGACTGAGGTAGGTTGCAATGAGCTGAGCTCGTGCCACTGCACTCCAGCCTCAACGACAGAGTGAGACTTCAACTCAAAAACAGCAACAAGAAGAAAACCCAGAAGTAGATTTATATCTGTTGATTTATATGTGCTGCAAAAAGAATAGCTGTTAAAAAATTAATTTGTAATTATATATATTTGCTTTTGTATACTTGTGAAAATTTTCTGCAAGAATATATAAAAACTATTAAAGATTATCTCTGCTAAGTAGGACTAAAAATGTAGCAAAATATTTTCTTTTTTTTCTGCACTCTAAGATTGTTACCATGTATGACTTTTCAAACTTCATTTAAAAATTTTAAATTATACACATAATGCACTATTACATAGTAAGCAGTTTGGTGTGTGTACTCCTCTGACTTTTTTCTGTATACTTTTAAAGCATATAGTTTCATGTTAAAAATATTTGATTTTTCTATTACACATACATTTTTCATGGATAAAATTATATAGTTGTTTTTGTATACATATATACAAAATTGCATACATATATACATACATAAAAAATATAGGCGTATTTTTTTAGACAAGGGTTTGCTCTGTCACCCAGGCTGGAATGCAGTGTCATGATCTCGGCTCACTGCAGCCTTAAGCTCCCAGGCTCAAATGATCCTGCCACCTCAGCCTCTTAAGTTGCTGAGACTATAGGAGTGCACCACCAACAAGGTTTCACCAAGTTTCCCAGGCT